TGATTGAGGTGATGGTGATGGTGATGGTGATGGTGATGGTGATGGTGATGGTGATGGTGATGGTGATGGTGATGGTGATGGTGATGGTGGTGGTTGTGGTGAAGGTGAAGGTGATGGCGATGGGAGGAGAGGAGGAGGAGGCGGAGGAGGACCCTGATGCTGATGATGGCTTTGCTATCATTGTGCGTCATCGACTACCTCTAAGCGGAATGAGCGGAAGCAATACCAGCTGCAACAACAGGGACTACTCTTTCCAGCTGAACACTACCGCACTGATATGTGCACGTGTTTGTATTCAATACCGATCGATTGTCACCTTTTTCCATCCGCAGCTACAGAAAACCGACCCTCGTCGTCGCCAAGAACCATTACCGTTGTGGAGATGTTCATCGAAACTGCCACTGAACAGTGTCGTTCTTCCTGACATTGTTCTCAGGGGGGTTGCTGGCTTTCTGACTTCGGATTTCACAGTGTGGCCTTACGCTGCAATTGCTGGCGAACCATCATACTATAGGCCACTAGCGATGGAAAGGACGACACTCCGCAAACGACTAAGAACAAAGACTTTGACTGGGCTGCAATCAGGAATCAGCACAACTGTGATAGGAGACACACTCTGGTACTACCCGGTCAACTCGTCAAAGCCCGGAAGGGGCACTGTTGGAACATGTCGTGGAACGGCGTCCGCGCCATCCCGAATTCCATGCCCTTCGCAGCCTGGATGTTGAAAACATCACATGTCGAAGGCAATCGGGGTGCGAACAGTGTCCAGCTGGTCGAAGAAATAATGAGAAACTTGCTGTGCCAACCAATTTTCACATCTTACTCTACAGGCCGAAAACTGCCGAACGTCGATCCCGAGCTTGTGCGAAAAACGCAGCAGGTTGCTCGGGGCAACTGCAGGAAGGTCCCTCCCGACATCGAGGTGAGCCCTGTTGATCTTCACCAGAAAGCCCTAGAACTCAAAAAGTGTAAAAACCCTACAAGCCCTAAACTCCAAATCTTGAGAAAGCCCCTGCGGGAGACGGCCTCGTTGGATTCTCGACTCTCCTCCTCAGGGAAAGGCTGTGGACCTGGCTTGGGCTTCGAGCTTTGGAAACACTGAAGTTGAATGTTTAGGGTCTAGGGTTTAGGGCGGTTTAGGTTTAGGACCACGGGGTTTAGCCTTTAGGACGCTTCTCGTGTAGTGGCCGGAAATCTCTATTGAGATGATGCCACCTCACACCAGCATGTGTGGATCGAGCTAGCAGAACGTCTAGACAATGTCTTCTGCGTTTTCGGAGCTGGACAGACGTATGGGCTGTAGCGAGAGCATGACGTGAAGTCTGGCCAAGGATCACTGAGAAAGAATTGACCTCATGGTCCAGGCTTTTGAATCTTGTCGGGTCTCCGCTGATGCAAAGCTTCAGGCGACTGGAAGATCTGCAGAACCAAAACCCTGTGCTTCAAAACGCACCGCACCCACACATTGGCCTTGGGTCTCAGCCATCTGGGGCAGAGACCTAGGCTTGTTCAAGACTGGTGCAGTTGAGGGCTGGTCATGGCATGCTCAGTGCTCCACAGTAGATCTCGCTTCCCGTTTTCGTACAACCCACAGCAGTGGTTCCAGCTTGTGGGATTCCGGTATCGTTGTCTTCCCTACCAACCGGTGCCGTACGAACCAGTGGACAACCGCCAACACCCCATACCTGCGATCCGTGTTTCATGCACGTCTCTACAGGCTGTGGGCATGGTTAGACTGGCTGGGCCAGGCAGGTACGTGTACGTAGTTGGTACACGGGCCTTAACAATGAAAACGAGTTTTGGGGCATGTTAGATTCTACTTACAACAAGGAACCCTGTAAATAATATTGCTGATAATTATCCAAGCCCCTCATCCAAAACCCTATAAGCCCCCTATAGAAACCCTTCTAGCAGCTTCATTTAAAAGAAGGAACTATGAAAGCCCCCCCTAAACCCTAAACCCTAAACCCTAAACCCTAAACCCTAAACCCTAAACCCTTCCTTCGGTCGACGGGTACCCGGAGGATCCCTCCGCGGTTGCCAGGCTGGGCCTCCTGGCTGCGACTTCGACGCGAGCTGCCCGAAGGACAGAGTGGACCTCTGCTTCCGCGGCGATTTTGGGAGTTTCCGAAAATTGGGGTACCTTATTTCCGAAAATAAGGGGTTTAGGGTCTAGGGTTTCAGGGTTTAGGGTTTATAAGGGGTACCTTATTTTGGGGTCCTTATAGTAAGGATCCTATTCTTTAGGGTATTATATTAGGGTCCCCTATTTTCGGAAACTGCCATTTGGGTTTGGGGCGTAGGGGTTTTGGGGCGTAGGCGTTTGGAGTGTAGGGGCTTGGGGCACTCAGGGCTTCGCATTTAGGGGTGGCAGCTTAATAACACTTTCCACCCCGAGAGGATCCGGGAAACTTCTGCAGTTGGGAGGGGTTGCCTGGTCCACGATGCCAAGGGTGCCATGGTTTGAACATGTCACCCGCTCTTGAACGAAACCCGGGCATCCCAAACCCAAAGAAGTTCCATTGCGTCCTTTTGTCCGTGAGCAGTTTGCTGCACGAAGATACCTCCTACATGGTCGGCATGCGACCTGTCCTGAGCCGGCTCTCTGAAACCCTCATCCCATAATGCCCCTAAACCCTAAACCCTAAACCCTACACCCTAAACCCTACAACCTAAACCCGAAACCCTAAACCCTTCGGCTTTACCGGCTTGGTCGCAGATCGCTTCTCTTCAAAAAGAGGGGAGGGAGTCCCTCACAGCACTCTCTCTCTGTCCATTGAAACCAGGCGGCGGAGCGCTGACGTGAGAGCGGAGCGTTCACGCGTGCATGCGACGCTTGAATGTGTGATGATTAGAAAAAACGGACTATATATGACTATATCAGCTGATACACTGCTACACCTGAAGCACTGGGAAGCGTACATGCACAAATGGTCACGCCTCACCGCTTCTACTTTTGGTGTTCTGACTGTTCTGATGGCGACGGTTCACAGTACCATCGCATGTCCAGGCTAATGTATAAAGGGTGTGGAGCAGCGTGGCCTTGTTTAGGCCACATCCACGATAGCCACACTCTCCCCAAAGTTTCTTAGGAATCGGGCTGCTCACTGCTGGGGAGACGTGCGGAGGAGAATTGTGCTTTCCCAAGCCTCGAACCCTCACACTTCAGCTGCGACGCGCACCGGCACTGCCTGAGGCGCAGGAGCACCGCCTCCTTGCATGTAGGCCGCCCCACCAGCCTGAAGCAAAGCGAATGCTTGGGTGCCATGCACCTTGAGCCTTCCCTCAATCAAGATCCATGCCGGAAACAAATCGGAGAACAGTGTCACGGTGTCAGGATGGGGAAGTCAGGAAGACTTGCAACACAGTGGATAATCGACGAACCCACTATCCTAACCATAGCTTGGAGTCTTGGCTTCCCGAGTGCATTGAAGAAGCAGTGCTGCCACCGTGGGCATGCACGAACTGCTGCACCTGGCCCGGCAGCATGTGACGGTTCTGCTCAAAATCTCGATGGTCTCAGGCCTACTGCAACCGTTCTTCCCTCGCCCCGGCGCAGGAAGCGATGCATGCCATGGCCATGTCATCATGCAATCACCGCACTCAAACATCAATGCACCATGGCTTCTCCTCAACACGTACGAAGCTTCCACCCGGAAAAACTTGATTGGGAACCAGAAGCCTGAGACAGCAATAGACACGTTACCGCTCCCGGCACGGCAGACAAGGGCCTGCTGTGCATAAAAGGGCTGGAACTGTGCGAACTCCGCGAACAGTGCCTCGGCCTGCCGTGAGATGGCTTGAGGGATGTTTATCTCATTGCCGCTGTTCTGCGAAAAACTGAGATCCACTGCCTCGCGGACTGGTAATCGTTAAGAAATGACACTACCAGTGGTGAGAATCGCAGTACTTGTTATGATCAGTAGTATCGTCAGGTCAACGTCGACGGCATCATCGTCATCACTTTAGGGTTCCATGAAGGATTGTTATCGGGGTTCTCTAAAGCTGCTGTATAAGGATTCGATAAGGGTTGTACTTTCGTAGACTACTTTATAAGGATCCTGAAAGGGTTCTAGTCTATCAAATACCATACTCTACTATACCATGCCACACCATACTATACAATACGACACCATACCGCACTATACTAGACTACACTATGCCATACTACTCCCAACCCCTCGAGTTCCTTAACCCCCTAACCGTAAACCCTCAATCCCTATACTCTGCCATACTATACGGTTTAGGGATAAGGTAAGGGTTCAGGTTTAGAGTTTAGGGTTTAGGATTTGGGGTGTACTGCTCCTCATCAAGATCGTAAACCCCCTCGAGATGCTCCCTGCCTCGGCAGGGTTTGGGTTCCCCGAAGTCCGGGAGGCCAGGAAGGCCTGCCACTGACGGAGGCCCTCCTTCAGCTCCTGCAGGGCTTAGGGGCTTAGGCTTCAGGGTTTAGGATTTAGGGCTTAGGATTCATGCAACCCGGGCATGTGGACTGTCACGAAGCGAGACACTTGTCGACTAAATTAGGGTTTTGGGATAAGGGTTCGGGTTGCAAGCCGCTCGAAACTTTGCGGAAACTGGGGAAGACGCCGGGCTTGAGAACACAGGGTTGCTGAGGCGTGAGATCTCGTCTTCCCGATTTCCCCCTCCCCGCCCCGCTCCGCAGGAAGCTGGTCCATCTTCTTCTGGCATCGCTTTTCTCGGAACCTGTCCATGGCCCAACCTGACAGTGCGTAGACCGCAATGCGTCACGGGTCATGTCTATCGCAGAGGTAACCGATGTCTCTCATGCACCGGAAAGCAATCTGGAAAACGAGCAGAAGCCAAGATTCCAGATGCATCATCGTGGTCTCTCTTTGCTTTCTTCCCTGGAAAAACCCTAAACCCTAAACCCTAAACCTAGAACCCTAAACCCTAAACCCTATATACCCGAAAAAAAGGCTATGGCGAGCAGCTCCCGACGCCGTAGCCCACGCCAGCGCCGATGCCAACCAGCCCGAGGGTCCCCAAAGAGACAGTTGTAAGGGTGAAGTACCTGAAGGAGAAACAATTTAGGGGTTTAGGGGTTTAGGGGTTTAGGGTTTAGGGCTTAGGGGTTTCTATGTCGAGTTGGGTTTGGGAGTTTAGGGTTCAGGGTTTAGGGGTTTCCATGTTTAGTTGGGAGTGTCCTCTCTTCTCTGCATGGCTTCGAGGGTTTGAGGAAGTTGTTCCCGGCTTCGTCAACTTGGGGTGGACGGCGAGCTTCTTTGCTGCTGAGGCGTCTCAGGGCTCATCGTCCAGACTTCTGCTGACTACAACATACTATAATATACTATCATATACTATGATATACTATAATATACGATGATATACCATAATGTACCAAAATATACTATAATAATTATAATATACTACAAGGATAAGGGGCTAAGGCCAAGGGTTTCGCAATGAAAGGAAACGATTCTCGGCGCGGGCTTCAGCAAGAGCACCCGGGATCTGGCGCTAGGATTCTGCTCCATACCATGTTCAGTCCGATGCAGTCGTGCGAGACGGAAGGTTCGAAAAACCGGAAACACGAGGAAACCCTAAACCCTAAACCCTAAACCTAGAACCCTAAATCCTAAACCCTAAAACCCTAAACTCCAAACCCTAAGCCCTAAACCCTAGACCCTACACCCTAACCTCAGCCGAACCTCCGAACCCAGCACCACCGAAACCCACAACACCCATCAAGCTCCAAGTTTTGAGCCCCGGCCGTGTGAAACCCGGTTCCACCTAAATCCCTGAAACCTCCAAACTATGTGGTAACCCACGTAACCCTAAACCCTAATAACCTTAAGCCTTAAATCCCCACTCCCTTTCAACTCGACGCCAGGTGGCACGGCGGCGCCCACCCCGACAGCAGGAAGGATGCCCTCGGAGCGGAGGCCCTGTCACGCTTTCAGCTTCAGGGCTTTCGTCTTTGAAGGTTTAGGGTTTAGGGTTTAGGGTTTAGGCTTCAGGATTTAGGCTTCAGGGTTTAAGGGTTTTGGATGGTTATAGGATGTTATAGGGATTAATGTTTAGGGTTTGGTTTCATTTCAATTGGCTTTTGACGGGTTTAGGGCTTTTAGGGCCTTGGGGCGTTTCGGGGTTTAGGATGATGCAGGCCGGTCAGCAGAGCGGGCCGGGGCAGATGAGGCAGGGAAACCTCCTGGTTCTAGGGTTTAGGGTTGAGGGTTTGGGGGTTTTAGGTTCTAGGGTTTAGGGTTTAGGGTTGAGGGTTTTAGGTTCTAGGTTCTAGGGTTTAGGGTTTAGGGTTGAGGGTTTTAGGTTCTAGGGTTTAAGGTTTTAGGGTTGCGGGTTTTAGGTTCTAGGGTTTAGGGTTTTAGGGTTGAGGGTTTTAGGAGCCTTCGGAAAAGCCCAAAGAAAAGAACCACGAGCTTCGCTGAGGCCTTGTCGTTGGCCTGCGGAGGCGCCATGGCCAGGTGAGAAGAGAAGAGAAAAGGTCTCTAAAGCAAGACCTTACAAGCAAAACGTCGCGACACCAAGTGAAAGATGTGTTGGTAAACTGCTGAAATGACAACTTTTGCGCCTGGCTTGGGTGTAGCTGCGGCATGAAGGGACCATTGACGAAAGCAACAGTAGCTTGTTTTTAGAACGTATACGGCAACCGAGCCCCCCCAAACCTTACATCCACAAGCATGAAACCCCAGCACGTGCCTCTGTAATAACTCTAATGCTCTAACACTAGTACTAAGACTAATGCGAATGCGAATTCTCATAGCCATACCAATACCACAATTGAGACTACTACTACTACTACTACTACTACTACTACCACCTCCTACTACTACCACCACCTCCTACTACTCATCCTAAACCCTAAACCCTAAACCCTAAACCCTAAACCCTAAACCCTAAACCCTAAACCCTAAACTATACCAATTCCCTTAGGCTCCAAGATGCTGGGCGCGAGGTGCTCCGAGGCTTCGACAAGGAAGGCCGTGGAAACACCACCTTGCCAGCCTGACCCGTCTTCCCTTAAGGGTTCCCCTAAGGGCTCCTTTAAGGGCTTCTTGTAAGCTCCGTTAGTTTAGGGTTTAGGGTTTAGGGTCTAGGGTTAAGGCTCCTTCAAAGGCTGCACCCTACAGTTAAGGCTTCCTTGTGGAACCTGATCCAGGAAGCTCTGAGCCACCAGAGTACAACGGAGCAGAGGACGGTATAATCATAGGAAGAGGAGTACATGGTATATGGTATAGTGAGTGTCATGTAGAAGAGTAATGTTTAAGGTTTTCAGGGTTTAGGGTACCACAGGAGCACAGCACGGGCCATGAAAACTCTACTGACAGGCCGTGCATCAAACACCACGAAATCGGAATCCGAAGGCGAGCTCGCGCCCTGAGACTTTAAGCCATTAAGAGTTGGGGTTTGGGGTTTAGGGCTTCCCGAGTTTGCCAAGACATTGAAAGCCGAAACGTAAATCTGGCCTTGAACCCTGTCTCAGTCTCCACGCATCCTCACACTGAGAATGCAATCGAAGTAAGCGTCTTGAGATGGTCAGCTAGGGCCCGGGGATGTGCTTGCTCGGAAAGCCCAAGTTGCTGGAAACCATCCTAGCTGTAAGTCAGTCGAGAAGTTTTTGCACCGGCTTGACGAGCTGTCGACCGCCCTGGCACCGAATAAAGTCAAAACTTGACCAGATAATGTGGGTCAATACCTTCGATCTGGGAACCGGGGATTTCGCATGAACTACCCGTCGTGATTCTGATGCAATAAGGTGATAAACAAAGCGGCGAATCTACGGCAATGCCAAGTGCTGCGGCATTGCGAGCTAGGTTTCATGCAAGTAAGAACCTTCGCAGACTTCAAAGATGATGTTGAACTGTTACAAAACCTATCATGCTTGTTGAAGTTTCTCTGTCACCATCATATTGCTGAGGCTGCGAGAACACTATTATCTTGCTAGTATTACCTACACTATGCCCGGCTGTGAGTAACACGAGCACTGCCCTTGATGACCAGGAGTCCTGGGAGTGGCGTTGTCGCTTCTCGCGGCTTCGAGGCCTTTCAGACAATCCCGCAGATCAGGATTTCATCGTGAGAGGGAACTCCCCAGCTATGGGAAACACACCGACCAATCATATCAGAACAAGATTCTAAGCCGAGTGCAACCGTTACAGTAACTGCAAGACAGTTGCAACATCGTCATCCCCAATGTCCTCACGACAAAGCTTCGACAATCCCAGCACTCGTCATCACGCATGTGCCGATCTTCTGGAGCTCTAAGCAGAAGCTCGACAGAATCAGAGCAGTCATGTAAAACTCTCAGAACTGAACGGTGAACACTCTACCTAGGGAACTCAGAAGTCACTACAAGTGTTCAAGTGCTTCGCAGTCTGCAGCGACGTCCGGCAAGTAAATCTGTGCTTCAGTGTTTGGTTGCAGCTTCAACAAGCAGCCAAGGAAGAGACGGTGAATGAGGATTTGTTAAATTCACCTGATGGATCCTTTCGGTTTCCTACTCTTGTTAGATTACTGGGCCGTGCTTCAAAGGCGGAACGTCGATGGACACTGGTCAGAACATGCGCATTTAAAACACAAGGCACCCTTGAAGATCACTGATTGGAGGGCCATATGTTCGATCTACTTAGAAGCCCACCCCTTTTCTCCCAGCGGGTGCGAAGTATCTCAGCCGTGTCCTGAAGTCAACCACCTGCTTCAAGAATGTCTTCTCCTCCACAAAATATATCGCCTTCTTAAAGACGCATGCGCAGCAGAGGGCTGGCCAGGGCCTCTCCATCAGGCGAACCCTGAGGGGCATTGAGATCACCAAGGCCCTCGGCCAACCAATGTGCAGCTGCTGATTTCCTGTGCTCCTGGGGAATGGAGTCTCTGACCTGTGCTTGAGAAGAAGTCTCGGAAGGAGCCGAGCTCCCGGATGCCAGATCAGTCTGGGTTGGAATCTCCTCGTGATACTCTTGCCAATTCCAGGGCGGAGCTGCACTTGCCATGTCCCTTTCTGGCTGCCACGCTGGGGCCAAGTAGTCGAGAGGCGGTGGTGTGAAATCCGTGTAGACGCTCACATGCCTCTGATTCAGCAGAAAATCTGGCTTAGGTGTCCGATCTTTAGGTTTCTTGAGCTTGGTGCGAGGGTGCAGAAGGTGGCAGTGTGCGCAGTCCCTCCCATACCAGCAGCCCTGGGGCTTCCAATACCAAGCACAAGGACGGCAGACCCCAGCGGAATGTCCTCGGGATCCCGGAGGCACAAAGCCTTCCCCCGGCGGCATCTGCGACAGATTTTCAAGAAAGTACGGATCGCTCTGAGGATGGATGTAAACTTGGGCTCGACCATCGCTAAATCCGCCATAACTGTTCGCAGATGCCAGGTAGGACGCGGTCCTGGTGTCGCTTGCCATGTCGCTTGCACGTTCGCCCGACATGGTGTAGGCCATCTCAAAGGGACGATGCATTTGCATGTCGGATACATGGAGCTTGTGCCAGAAAATGCACTGGCAGCAGCGGCGCCATGCATTGTATGGAAAGACAGACCGAAGCCACTGAGTAGAGAGATTAAGTTGAGGATTCCACGTGCTCGGGTGATCCAGTGATGTTCAATCTAGCACAAAGACTTTCACTGCCAAAAGTCTTGACATGCTGCTAATTTAAAAAATTAATTGTTAATAATATTATATTCTATCTAAAAAAATATTATAAACTAATAATTTTAAGTCTTGCATCACGATCCAGGCCTCTGCATTCAGTGGCCGGCCGACCTCAGCTCAAGGTAGTGAACCCTTGTGGGGGGGCTCCTCCTCCAGCGAGCATATGGGGGTTTCCGAAAATTAGGGGTACCTTATTTGGCGTCCTTATAATAAGGATCCTATAATTTAGGGTACTATATTAGGGTCCCCTATTTTCGGAAACCCCCATATGAGCAAGA